CCCCAAAACCCCAAAACCCCAAAACCCCAAAACCCCTAATGTACTGGCTTAAATTGAACTATTGAGGCCTGTAAATCATTTCAAATTCCTTTAAAACCAAATTTAAATTTTGGTAGAATGGGTTTATAGTTGCCTGCTAATTACTTCAGCAGCAATAGCGTCCTGCATTCTGAGAGGAACCCTTTCTTCATCCTTCTTAGGAGGACTTGATCAGCAGAATGCTATTATGGCGAGGAAGAAGAAGAGTCCAGCAAAAGACAGGATTATTATATACATCATCATTTTAATAAAAGCTTCGCTTGCTTCATGGTCAAGTGCTTCTTTGTAGAACTTAATACTATTGGAAAGTCTGAAGATTGTGTTGATGAAGGCAACAAGTTCGTTCTCAGAGAGAATAACTTCCTTATCTTTCTCTGTCAAGAGGATCTTAAACATGGCTGCTACCCCAACAAACTGAACTCTTGTGTTAAGCTTGCACACATCACATTCAATTCAGTTTACTAGTTCTGATACACTTCTAAAAGCAGGCTTTACTGATTGGATGAGTTCTTCTTTCGTGACCTTTTTAAACAACCCGGATTGAATTTTGTCAGGGTCTGCTACCTTGCTTACATAATGACTGAACCACTGCATTCTATTCTGAATCCTCATGTTTTTAGACTCGTCATCTGAATAGTAGATATAATGAGGAAGATTCTCTCTAATATGGCTTAATGCATCAATGAACAGTAGTGATGTATAGAACAAGTCCTTAATTTTGTCAGGATATTTCCCAACTCTTTCATGAAATTGCTCATAATTAGCAGTGAAATCCACAGTTGTAAAGCTCTCTCTCACACTGATATCCTCTAGGAAGAACTGACTGATGTGCATATCACTACTTGTGTGAATCCCTGAAATTACTCTTGGGAGTAAGTCTCTATGAGGCCCAGAAGTAGTGAAGTTAAGCTTGTTTAAACTCTGACTCTCTATTTCATTCCATATTTTGGTATCGTTAAAGCCAGTGTACCTCTCAGGATTCTTTTGGAGGTCGATATAAAGCCCTTCCTTCTCTAGATGCTCATCGACAGTCCATCCGTCTGATTGATCAGTATATTCTTCAACTGGGATATGACTGGTAAATTCCTGCATCTTGGGATCCAGTGTTCGGTTAACAATATAAGTCCTAATAGTGGTTACATTCATAGCTTCATCTTCGTAAACAGGGCATTGCCCATTTTTACATTTCTGGTTGCTAATAGAAAACTCACATTTTCTGGAGGGATTAGTCCTGAAATTTCTAAAGAATTTGGTAGTCATGAGAGACTTCAGAAGGGAATTAATATTCTTGTTTTCTTTGTATATTCTCTCTATCTCTATATCTGATGGTTCTATATTCCCTTTGTGTTCATAGCTCCGAGGTTGGTCTAACAGAGTAGTGAAGTACAGGAAGAGAGCTGTCATAGCAGACATCCCAAGAAGAATCAGTGATCAGGTGCTCATATTTAATTTTATTATCTCATTTGAAAATAACAGTGTGGGGTTTTGGGGTTTTGGGGTTTTGGGGGTTTGGGGTTTTGGGG